ATTTTAAATTTTATTAATAAAAAATATAAGTACAATATGTAATTATCTCGTAAATAGTATTTATAAATACAAAAATTATAATACATAAATGAGTCAGTTATTGAACTAATTGTGAAATAAATTAATATTGCATATACATATAATACAGCATTAATTTGTTTTATAAGTCTTTTAAAAATAAATTGGGATAAAATCTCAATCCTTCGATGCAGTCATCCCTGCAAGCTACTCCATACTCTTCACAAGTCAGAAGTCTTTCTTTTGCTAACATTACAGATATCCCTAACAATTTTGCCAATTCCTCTGCTGATAGTGACCCCTTTTCTTCTATCTTTAATTAGAAAAAAAATATTAATCAAATCAAAACGATAAGACAATAATCTTCTCAGTGCAGCTTGTACTTAAAAATTAATCATGAAGATGCTTTTTTGAACTGCGTACAAAACGTGGCATATTAAATTGGTCTTATTAAAAGTGGAACTTAATAAATTATCTCAACTAAACACGATAAAATACTGTTACTATTCCTTAATAATGACAGTGCCTTTTCTAAAAACTTTTGACAAATGTATCCTATTTCTTTGTAACACTTTTCATATACATAAATTATCTATTTATACTGTTCGTNATAGTTACTTATACTGTTTAACGACTTTTTAAAATGTATCACATATATGTTAAACTAAAAGTGACAGTTTTAAAATCAACTAGATATTTGTTTCAAAACTTTCTCAACTTTTTTCAGCAGAAATTGCATCAACTTCAACTTGCTAAAAAATATAGATAAGGTAATTCAATCACCGAACATATAAATTATACGTTTTCTTATGTCGCATGAGAAAATAATTTATATTTTTTAACCACATCTGTCTAAAAATATCTATTACTTCTCTGAAAACTGTTCTAAATTAACAAATATTGCGAAGACTTAACACCCTGTAGGACTTACTTTTAGCTTTTATGGTTTAGATGCTATTTGGTCTCATTCAAAGAGCTGAAATCGTTTTTTTTTTTTTCAAAAACACTTGAATATCTCAAAAATTACTACAGATAGGTATAGGAAACTGTTAATAAAGTCTATTTCTTAATGATTTCCATATTTGACCTCTGTTCTTCCCAAAAGAATGTTTGGGGGCACTGTTTATCTTTATTGGCGAGCCCAAATTGAAGTAAATTTCTCCAAAATTCTTTTATGTCCTAGAAACAATACCAATTATCTATGACCATATCACCATTACAAGGTCGTCAATCCTAAAACTGGTAGGATCTCCACTATTTCCTATCCTAGCTAATCTTCGCATTTCCCTAAAACTAGAATATTCCACATCCTTAACTATTTGTGAACAGAAATCTAATTTTAGTCTACCACTGCTTCTCTTAACTCCTATTTCTATTTCTATTACGTCTCTATGTAAGCCCTTCCTGCCTGAGAAGGTGCTCTATTAACCTATCTCGCCTATTTCTTATTGACTTCCATAGTTACCCTCTGTTCTCCTATTCTTTATCTACTACTTCTCCATTTCTAATCTTCTCTATCTACATTTCGAACGCTTATAACGTTTGGGTACGTGTCGTATAGATTAAATTAGAACAAAACTAACTTGCCGTAGTATAATAATTATGTTAACGCAAATAGTCTCTAATGTTTACTAATACTAATATTCTGTTACAGATGTACCTGGCCCATTTACAAATATGATCCTTGAAGAAATGTAAGTGATTATACCTATTAACTTTGTCGTTACAATAGATACGAATTCTCGATTAATAATTTCAAATGTATCAGTGTTTAAAAATTGTGCTTTAACGCCAAACTAAAAGTACTGTTAATTGTTCTTGATCGTCAAACATCAAACTTCTTAAGGTACAATTATTTGGTAGGCGCATTCACCATTTTTTCGAAATGTAATTGCTTCTTTAACATTTATATAAATTATCGGCAAATTATTCCACTTACTTCAGGCAAAGGTTTCGGAGGCGTTAAATGTAACCCATTAACTTCAATTAACGCTGGTACCTTTGCATGGACTTCCGTTATTCCTGGGACTACATTAGAAATAACGAGACTCGTCTTGTCTTTCTCTAGTGCCGCGAGATCCACGTCTTCTCCGTGAGACAAATATTTCTTCACTAATTCCGCTTGTAGCGGATACAATATTCCCTGCACTTGAGCATTAAATAAGAATGTATAAACAGCGTTTACGACTTTTTCAAAGACATTCAACTTTCTTCCGAACGGCAGATTTCCATCTACAGTTTCCAAAAGGTGATTCGGATTACCGATGTTGTTTAACGTTATAATATGAGCAGGCATGGAGGTCATCTGTATCAGGGGACATTTGAACTTTTCACTTAAGTAGAAAAAAGCGGGAGGTACAAATTCTGCTAATACTACGTCGAAATTAAGAGAACTGTCGTTAAGGAAAGCATTCGTCTCAGGACGCTTGAGGATTTCTTCTGTCAGATTTTGCAACATCGTTGTTATTCCCTTCCATAAAATTAATCCATTGCTAGGAACTTCATCCTGTAAAAATATTAAAGGGTATATTTTTCTCTAAATTTTTGACGAAATTAATAAATCTATTTACAACAAATTGTATGTTAGGGAACGTACCCATACTACGTGACCCTGGGGGGGAGTAAGTCTTGAAGAATACCACGTTTGGTCATAGGGACAAGGGAGACCTAGATTTTCGTCATGTAATCATTATCCTCTAGCTATATTCAAATATGACGGGCAATATTTAGCGCTTTTTAAACTATTGGTTAAATTATTTGTGAATTACTGCATGAAAACTAGAAGGAAGAGGGGTCTTGGCATATATTAAGGGGGGTTACTGAAGGGGGAGAGAGGTAAAAACTTGTAAAAAATGAATCACGTATTATGGGGACGTTCCCTTATATGGATAACCGTGCGAAACTCGAATAATTCTATTAGGATTCTCATACTATAAAAACAATAAGAAAAATATTGTTAAAAAAGAACAAATGTTTTAAGTTATAGGAGAAGCGCACTTATTGCGTGTGAAAACAAACAAAAGTTCTAGAGGTAGGTACGTTGAATGTTAATGTTGTCCTTTCAAGGTAAAATACACACGCACTTGCATATGTATGTTAAAACAATAAAAACTTGCCTATTGTATAGATAATTGATAAATTTCACGTTCAAGTAGCACTGTCATAATATAAACTTATCAATTATTTACACTACAAATGCTCATAAAGTCAATGACTGTACTACATAGTACCTATAGAAATCTAAAACCTGAAAAAAAAATTTTTTATGCTTAACAGTGGCAAAAAGTGAACATATCGAAGTGAGATATAGACACTCATGAAAAAGATATGAAATGTCTTTTTTTTTGTCGAATCCACTAATAAAAATTGTTCCTATATTAAGAACAAGCAATTACCAGTTTAAATTATATGGTGCATAGTATATATTAAGTAAACATTAGACATAAGTATAAAAGAAAATTAAGATAAATAAATATTGTACATCTTAGGACCAATTCATTAATTAATTATCTTATTCTATATGAAAAGTATTCCACTTAAAATTTGTGTCTATCACTTCAAATGCTATAAGCGCACAATTACTTAACGAATATACCTTGAGGTGAAAACAAATTTGAAAAATCCACACATTTTGAAATTAATGGGTATATAATCCAGGATCTTATCATTATAGTTACTTATACTGTTTAACGACTTTTTAAAATGTATCACATATATGTTAAACTAAAAGTGACAGTTTTAAAATCAACTAGATATTTGTTTCAAAACTTTCTCAACTTTTTTCAGCAGAAATTGCATCAACTTCAACTTGCTAAAAAATATAGATAAGGTAATTCAATCACCGAACATATAAATTATACGTTTTCTTATGTCGCATGAGAAAATAATTTATATTTTTTAACCACATCTGTCTAAAAATATCTATTACTTCTCTGAAAACTGTTCTAAATTAACAAATATTGCGAAGACTTAACACCCTGTAGGACTTACTTTTAGCTTTTATGGTTTAGATGCTATTTGGTCTCATTCAAAGAGCTGAAATCGTTTTTTTTTTTTTCAAAAACACTTGAATATCTCAAAAATTACTACAGATAGGTATAGGAAACTGTTAATAAAGTCAACCTAAATTTAAACAAAGAAACTGAAAATGTAAANAATTAATAATCACATAGCCTTAATTGTGATATTGAATATCAATGAACCGTCAATTTTGATCTGTAGCTCTCGATTATTCAGCAAAAGAAATGCTTAGCTTTCCCATCTTTTTAAAACGTATAAGTAAATAAAAAAGCTTGAGGCCTCGAGAGGAAAAGTGTGTTCAAAAGAAAGCAGTTTAATTTTATTATTAGGTAGTTGTCAACTGGCGTAGTCGGTAACGGAGTTTACTTCTCATAAATGGAAATGTTAATTAGTTTATATTGGATTTCTTACCCATTATGAATAAAAAGATCGGCATTATTTCGGGCCCCATAAAAAATGAATATTTGGTCATTTTGCTTAAAATCTTTAAGAGCGAAACACTCGCTACGTCGAAGTTCTGGATTGTAATCTGTCGTTATCTGTTTAACACAAATAGATGTATGTACGAATACATATATTTATTCAGGATGGAAGCTTGTTATGTTATTTTTGTTTTATCCACCCAAATAACAAATATCTATTGCAAACTTTGCGAATTCTCAAATGCTCAAATAACATCGCTTTTCAAATTAAATGTAAATTTTGAATAAGCATTTCATTTTATCAAACATTACTTACACTTCCGTTCATATGATTACATAAATCCCACAGTGGGATAAGAGCACTAAGATAATTTCCGTCTTCAGAAGGTACAGTATTTTGGCGAGTCATCACTGTGGATGCAGCCCATCTAAAAATGCAACAACACTTCACAACAACTTATTATTAATTTATTATCTGGTGTTATTTTACTTTCGGTTATAGGTACTACGATTATTTACTAATTAAGACAGTTTACCATGGGAATACAAAAACAATAATAAAATTAACTCTTAATGACTAAAAAATGGATTGTAAGTTAACTAATTATTGATAGTTTTTCTATCTTTATGTTATAATTACTTTAGTTCGGCAACAAATAATTCTTCTATATGCTTTCTTATTTGCCTTTGTGACCCGTTTTAATTGGAAAAAAGACAATGATGCCAAACCAGTTTGCTTAACGTGAAAGATCAGAGTCAAAATAGGGTTGTAAATAATTTTATAGATGTAAAATCAATATCAACCATTTTATATCAAAATATTTACAACCCCATTTTGTTTCCGATCTTTTACGCATTGTAATAAGAGAAAGAAATGGAATCCATAGTTTCTTTAGCTTTGGGTTCATCTAATAAGTGAAGTTTTTCGAATCGTTTTCTAAGAATTTTGGATTATATTCATTTATTAGTACACCACGATAACTTTTACTAGTTTTCAGTTTTACACAGCTGGTGCATATCAATTCGATATTGTTTTGCGGGCTGTTTTGTCGTAATTCATAGAATTTCATAGTTCCTTGCTAAAAGTACGATAAGTGGTGATTTGGTAGATGCCGATATCAATTTGGAACTTCAAAATTTCGTGGACCATGACATTGAACTCGGAAAACAATATCGAACCAATAATTTAGATTAGTCATTTCCAAGAGGTTTAGAATTTTTTGGGTTCTCTTCAATTAAAGAATTATAAGACGTTCATGGAATGTCTCTTTGCCCCCATTTTAAGCTTCTAATACCTTCAGTGGTCAATGTGAACAACATTCATTCATCATTTTATATAGTTTGATAGATGATACTAGCAAAACTTTTAATAGCAAAAATGCATTTTGCATTTTACAAATAGAAAATACGTTTTGAAAAGTATTTTAAATAAAATACAAAATGCTGTTATCAAAAAAGTAATTAAATGCAAAATAAAAATAGGAATTTCTTTTTTTTGTATTTGCATTAGAAATTCAAATATTTTAAATAAATCACATCTCTGTCTATTATCTATATCGGCTAGAGTACATGACAGTTTGACTTCTCTCCACAATAGTGCTCATAAATAAATAAATACATATACATATAAATAATCACCCAGCTTTAAAACCTCTCCACCAATATAATACATTAATGTAATTACAAATAAAACCCAAAAATCTAAGAAGTACATTCGTAATTAGTATTTTTTTCTCAAGGACTGCAAATCGAATGACGAAAAAAAGTGAGGTTGCCATGGCAAAATAAAAATGTGCTCCATACTCATTTTTTTTTACAGATGCACTTCTAATATATAAAATGGTTAAGAAATTAGTTAAAACAACTTACGGGGTAGCTCGTAAACTGTAGTCATTTGCTATTGTTTCAATTCCTCCGGCTTTTGCCACCGCAACATAGCACGATTCATTACCAAAGTCAATACCTATTACCGACATTGCAGCCATGATTTTCTAATTTTCAACAAAACCAAATGAGGAAAGGCGTAAACCCACAATATAAATGCTCTTGGAATGATATAATAAATTGGTAATTACTTAAAAACACCTTTTAAATACTACCGCACAAATACCACAAGAATACTCTGTACTTCAATGACATATCCAAATGTGAACTTTCTAGTTCCTTAGTTTTGATCGGAATACCAACTTACTAAAACAGGAAACTACAGTTTCTAGAAAATTCGGGAACTTTTCGAATCAATGTATGTATTTAAATAAAAATCGAACAAACTGCTATTATTATAAATAGTTATAATAAATAGCAAATAACAACCGTATTTTCACTTATCTACGAATGCATTGTTTGCTTTTAATTAATAGTGGACACAACATTTCTACTTTACACAAACAGAGTGGAAAAACTCTATGACGAGCCAATGATTACACAGACCTAATTTACTTTACAATCAACAACTTTACAATATTTTTTTGCTTTATTGTTTTGAAATAGTATTTATATCTGATAATGATATTATGTCGAAATTGGATTTAATATTCATTTAATGTGTAAAGAAATTCATTAACTCACTAAATCAATAT